AAGGAATTCTAACGTGAAAAAAAAAAGCTGAGAGGTAGCCTCACCCATTCTGCATATAATCGACATCAAAGTTGTCATAAACAAAACCAAGGAGAAGAAGCATAGTTGAAACCATAGGCTGTGAGGCACTGGCCTGGAAAAAACCCCGATAACCAAACCAAACCAGCATGTAGAACATTCAAATAAAACAGACTAATTGCAAGAAACGTGAAAGATGCTTAGAGGTTCTGACGTAATCCCTTTCCTCACCTCAAGGTATTCGTCAGCGACGTAGTCGAACAATAAACAGGCGAAATGGATTCTTGTAGACAGCACACGAACAGCGTGTTCAGATGGCCCACTCATAACAGACTGAGCCATGGTTATGATCTGAAAGTAAGCATTAAGGGAGAAAATCTTTCTACTATGTAGTTCTGTAGGCATTGATACCTCTTCTGTCATTATCTGGCCAATCAAATGACGACGACGCCACTCTTCATCCAGGGTGCTAACCATACCCGAGACAAGATCAGCACATGAGAATACAAGATCCGAACCAAGCTCCATCAAGCGCTTACATAATGGCATTAATTCAATGCAAGCACGTGATATGGACAAATCTGTCTGAATGGAGAAAGAAATAAAACATTGGGTATCGGATTCATATTAACGTTAAGGTCTCATGAAACCCACATCAATGTTGAGCTCCTTCAACGGAGTAATTATCGGCATTTCCACAGAGTCTTCAGCATCTACCGAAGAGCTTGTTCCGGCTGCACGCCTTGCATCTCTTTCGTCACTGGTACCGCTACCTGTCGTAGAGAGAGTTACTTGACTACTCGACCTTTGTCTATCATATTTCTCAACCCACTAGATGACACCGCAACTCCGAGAAGGAAAGGTAAGTTGGCATCGACAAATTCACCTTCTTCCAAATCTCCCACATCATTGCTTCTTTCCAGTGACTGCCAAATTAATGCAATATTAGACAAAAAACGTAAATTCAGCAACTTGAAAAAAAGCCACAGACGTAAAATCACCTGCTGCAGCCCAGCGGCGTTTCTATTGATCAGCCATTCGGTTGCTCCTTCGGTGGAGCCTGTTTCTTCCAGAGCTTGGACGACTAATTCATGAGGGAAACCCATGTCAACCTGAGAAGTCAGATAATCATGTTATCCTCTCAACAACGTAAAGTGGAACCGTTCAAGGTTAACATAAGGAAACTCAACTGACCAACAAGGAAACACTTCCTTCTGGTAATAGCTGTCTTAGCACAGCGTCCCGTTGAGACTCCTCACCCTCTGCAGCTTGTGCTCTTAAGGGATCGTTTAGTTCGTCATTTGGAGCCCGCTGATTATCTTCAGAAACAGGAGTGAGGCTGTGTGCAACCTAAAATCACGATAAAAAAGGAATAATAAATATTCACATAAAATTCAATTATCGTAATATTTACATCTTTATATACAGAAATGGCCGTCTCGCACAAGGTCTGACAGCACTTCAAGTCAACTTTCTCGTCGGACAACTTGGCGAACAAAACGCAAAATGCGCGGAAGAAATCCTAAATAAGCTTTGCTAAGAGAAAAACCAATATAAAGAACAAATTTAGATCAAGGAATGCCCGTTAAATGATTGTCTAATAACTTAAAAACTTACGTTATGCACAAGCTTCAGGTATTTTTTAGGATCGAACTCAATTGTTAATGGTTGTGGCTGTCGGTACATCGAATGCAACATGTTCTGTTTATGTGCCAACTTGCTGGCAAGACGGAACCACTCAAGGAATGCAAGTTCCAGCCAATCTGAAGATAGTTGAAGTTGAATGTTGAACTACTATGGGAACATAGTTATGCTAACCATTGTAGTCGTTTCCAAGGGCAGGCGCAAGTTTGTTCATCATTAGATCACAGAAGGCATTATGGCATCCAGAGGTATAGAAACGTTGAAGCATTGCATGAAAAGGTTGACGACGATCATCGAATAAAGCGACAGACATTTGCACGATTACTTCTTGAAGGCGACCAAACCTAGGAGAGTGAAATAAAACAAGGAGAATAATGGCCTAACTTTAACAGCTTCAAATGACTCACTCCATAGGAGGAATGGGTCCACCCTCAGGCACTTTATAACAAGTCCATTTAAGATCACGGAAGAAACCGGCAAAAACTTCATCTGCCATTTGTTGAGCAGATTTGGTCATGGTCGAGGCAGAAAAGTCATATCTTCGATTGCGTCTTGTAGGTACAAAGCATGATCGAGACAGCTGACTGAGAAACTCCGAGACAGTTCTAAATAAAGATAGCATGTATCGAATCTTACATAGATGAAATGGTAGGAAGAACTTACTTATTAGCCTTTATTACCATGTCAGCAACATTTTTGTGACGATGCCAAAACGCGTTCTCAGCCTGTGTGATTCCTGCCATTGCCCAAGCTGGTTGACGAGCAGCAGTCGCGGGTGGATCAACAGCCACGGACATTACGTTGTTCGGCTCAGAGGGACTGTGACTAAAGCATACCACACATACAATAGGATCAGATTGACGATTTCAAATAAAAATTGACAAACGCCATAAATTATTGAATAATAAACCTTATCGGAGCGCTTGTTCCAACTGATAGAGCTTCAATTTCGCTTGGATCTGTTTGCGTCGTTGCTACCGCTTTCGTCGGTTCTATCATTTTGAGTAGAGCTGTCTCCCACGCAAGAACACGGGAAACCTGAATTTCATCATCTGATCATTACAATTCATTGTAAGTTTGAGTTTCAGTTAAGTTTTAAGAAAAAAGATGCAAAAACAGAAGAATGAAAAAAGGGTTTCTTTCACACTACGAGAATAAACTGTTCTCACCTTTCTGAATCCTGTATGTAACCTTTTTCCTGTATCCGTGAGCCAAGCGTCCCAAACACGATTCCGCAGATCTCCCTGAATTCATTGCTCTTCTTAGTTCGAACATGAGAAACGTGTCGTTATTACCTGTGTGCCGGGAACGGAGAGACTGTTATTCTTGGTCAGCATACTGAGTATGGGAACAGCATTGCTCATACTGGTAATTGCGGTTACGATTCCTTCATCTCCTAGTGGTACAAGTAAAGATGCACCACCTCCGTTGGACTCACTGTACCCACGCGATGTTCGCAGAACGAAAGGATTGATAGATTGCAAGAAAACTTCCATTATGGACAGCATCAGTTTATCTCCAGCTTTTACATGTTGCTAAAAAAACAGTTTAAAGCAGCATATCATGATGTTTTAGCAGCTCAAGTGGGTGAACATACCAGCACAAATTTCACAATGCATCCAACGCTTGCGGAAAACGTGCTTGCAGCAAGATCGGCAGCCAATGATGGAAGATTGCAAAGCGACAAAATCTAAAGCGGTAGATAGAAAAATGTAGTTTTGATTCGTACTAATAGATCAACAAATTTCTTCAAAATGTATCCCGAAACTATAGAAAAGGAGAAGACCTCAGCCAAAAGCACTCATAACAAATTTCTTCAAAATGTATCCCGAAACTATACAAAAGGAGAAGACCTCAGCCAAAAGCACTCACCTTTTCGACACCATTCTTCTCAACAAAACCTTCGACTAAGTCTGCAGCGGCTACTTGTGTAATGATGGCTTCAAAAATCTTAACAAAAAAATCACTAATAAGGGTAAACGAATTGAATTAGAAAAGATAATTAATTTAGATAGCAAACCTTCGTGAAAATCAGCAAATAGTCGCCTAGTGGAAGAAGTCTTGTGCCATCTTTTGCATCAGATGGGCAATCCATTTCGAGACCCTTTACAAAAAAGTGGATCATTATGAATCAACAACTATAAAAAAAGTAAGAAAAGGCTAAAGTCTAACCATTTTGTCTGCAATACATTGACCGACGCCGCTCAGTTCATCCATACTCATTTCCGCTTCGTCGTCGTCATCAGACATTTCTTCGATTTCTGGTGGGGACATCGGTAGCTACAAAATGTACTTTCACTGAAGGTCAATAGAATAGTGCATTTTAAGGCACACCTGTTCAACATTTGGCGTATTTGACCCACTGCCAAAACTCTGACTGGCAGCTTTGCTAGCCGACCGTGATAACGCCATAACAATCTTCGTATTAGGTGGTGGATTGTTACCGAGTTCAACGAGACGATCCAACATCTGAGAAAAAAAAAACTGGCCAACGTTTTGAAGCATATCATCATGACAATTTGTTCCAAGGAAATCGACCCAACCCCGAGTACTGAATTGAGCATCAATGGTTTCAATGTAGGCTGATGTCGCAACAAGTCATCCAATGAGCTTCCGATTCCCTGCGCAGCTTCATCTGAATTTTATCATGTGATCAGCTCGGAAAATTTAAAAGAATAAACTTCAACTGACTCATTTCACTTCGCTTCTTTTTCATGGTTACGATGAATTTTATGCTAAGCACGATGTTGAACACATGATCAAATGGTGCGTAGGCCTTGAACTGCTTCAGTCCTGAACTTATTTCGCGTAAATTGCAGATTCACAATAGTCAACGGAAGTATTTAGTCGAAAAAAAACCTAAGCAAATCGCCAACCGATTGAAAAGTACCTTTCTCATTCAGACAAAGCGCTGTAAACACGTTTCCCATATGACTAATCACGTCGCGTGAATTTGGAAGCTGAATTTGAAAAAATGTTGGAGAAGTCAATTCCAAGAATTTCCAATTCAAGCATGTAAAATCCAAATTATCGATCTACCTCTTTTCGCAACATACTCTGAAGTATGACATATGGTACATGCCTGTTTTGGAGAACAGTCAATTGAGCTGGTTCCTGAAACGGTTCCATTTGCAGTATCGATCCCTAAATCTGTAGTAAATAGAGATACCTGGTAGATAAAGTTGACAACAAGTTGTGTGGCATGGTGATATAATGATGCAGAATAGTATTCCGAATTACTGATTATGTGCATCAGAGCATCAGGCAATTGTCCTTCCATAACTAAAAAACCCGATTTCTACATTTGAAAAAGAAAACAAAGGTTACGTCAATATTCTTTTCTGGACTGAAGTAGTTCAAGAAGTGACAATAGGGACTAACTATGTCGAACGCTGTCTTGAAACTGTGTGTCCTGGATCGCTCGCTTGATAAATGTGATGAGCGCTTTGATCAAGCCGGAGCGTTGTGGATGGCATGTTTTTCCAATAACGGGTGCCCGTACAAAAACGCTTCCGACGCTGTCATCATCAACGTCGCCGCTAGTGTCGATCACAAATGGCTGCTCCTTTCTGCACTCGTCCACCTCATACTAAAAATGTTTTTTGAAAGAGAAGCATTTGCTTCGTATAATAACATAGGACACAAGAAAATTTGCAAAAAATTCTAGTATCGGAACGAACTATTAGGCGGTCGATGCAGATATCCATTCCTTTGCAGTTATTGAACCCTGTGACATCGATCGTTGTGAAATTATCGGTTATACGAGTACATCGCGTTGCTAAAGTTGCCTGGTCAAGGGGAAGAGCGTGATGAGAAATCACGCTCAGCAATGTCTGCGTAAGACCGCAAGCAGCCAAAGTCTCTCCTAAAAAAAGAAATGAGCAAAATGAATTTTTCATTAGAAGGTTGAAAACGCACCTCCAGGATCATTGTTGCTGAGATGATAAATAAATGACAGCAGCGCTGTACTCAATGCAACACTTGGCTTTCCTGGTGTATTCAACGCATTTCTCTTCATATCTTCTACTATATTCCTTGTAAACACGGCTAGGAAACCATGGTACGATCCTGCACTCAATACGTCCAGAATTTGTGATGTTCTAAACAAATACAGTGTGTAAAAAACGGATGCACATTTTTTTATAAAAAAAAAACTATGTAAATCAAAGACATTCAAGAAGACTATATTTTAAAAAGCTGTAATATTAACGAGACGTTCGAGACTTACCTGCTGGCTTTTTCCAGAGAAACAACGCTACAGAGCATTCTTAACGCTTCAGTTTGTATAGGATCCATTAGCTCATGAGAATTAAGATCAACTTTCAATAAGGCGACAGCTTCTTCAATAAATCCACTATACAATAAAGCACTTATTTGAACATCATCTGGCTGGCAACGGCAATAAACTGCAAACATTCAGGGAGTGAAAGCAAATTTAACATAATTTGTAAACCATTTGTCACCAAAACGCACTTAAAGTTGAAATAGACAGTAGTCGCACAATTAGACATTGCATTCTGTGCTCCCGAACTTCAAAATGGCGCAACATCCGTATTCTGGCCAGTAAACTATATCTGTCTTCAGGTGTCATTCCTTTGGCAAATTCGTCTACTACCTTTAACAATGGTTGGTCAACCTGAAAAGCAATGCCTGAGACGAGAAACTTAAAATGAATAAGGCGTTAATATTGAAGATAAACACACCATGTGGCGCTCAAAAACCATGGTATGTTTGGCTTTACTGTCTGTAAAGGTAAACGGGAACAAAGGAGGTAGTTTCACGTCACTATGAACGCAATCCTCCATCTTCAGATTGCGCAGCTTGCCTCCCCAGCACTGAAGACATGCATGACTATAGTCGTTAAAAGTAGCAGAAAAAAATGAACATACTTGTGCCATTGCTGTGAGACTCATGACGAGAGAGGCTTGATCTTCTGGACATAGCCTTTGAGTGAGGAATTTGGATCGCTTGCTGATGGTTTGCAGAAGTCTCAATACTTCACCGACGAGATCCATATCAGTGCATTCCGTCAATCGAATAATTCGCTGAAAATTCCATATAAATTGTAATAACAAAGTGTTCTCCATTCATGAAAGAGTTGCGACTAGCTATATTTATATCTAATAAAATTTAAAACTTCATGGGAGTTTCCTAGGCTCCCTAAATCATGAAGAAATACAGAAGCAATGATTAACACAAACATCTGTGCTTGCATATATTCTTCTAGTTGATGTGCAGTCAAAGAGAAGCCCAGTGAAACGAAGTATGGAAATCGTATTGTATTTCGTAAAACCGCATCGATCAACCTGAAATGAACATTTTATAATCACTGGATGGAAGAGGAACCGTCAAAGAGTAGTGATATACCTTCATTTCATGGTCTTGAATAACAGTAGCATCTTCTAAAATCTCGTCGCACCGATTTAACACATCTGCCCATCTTGATAATTCGGTCTAAATCGAAAAGTAAACATCAAATTACTTGTGTAAGCAGAGAGCAGTCGGTACATATTTGCCGTGCAAAAGTCGAAATCGCGACTTTACACATTTCTTACCGGCACAGGAAACTTCCACATAATTTAGTTCGTTTTCTTTTTCAAGCGCCCTCTTACTTCTCGCGCGGTATTTTGACTTAGCGTCGACTGTCAGCCATCACCGTCGACGATTACTCAAGCGTTACGTTACTCACAAACACCTTTTGTAACTGAAACTCACAAGCCAACGCAGAGTATGGGGGCCACAATCCACTTTAACTTAGTTCCACCAGGCTTAAGCCTATATGATCAGCAAGGAAAACCCTATGTACATAGTTTTTTTGTGTGTAATTAACGCTAAAACATCTTTTCACAGAACAGCTCCCACAATGTTGACAAGACGCCCCACGATAATTAGGTTCCATGAAATTTGGATAAGTCGGCTCACTGCATGGGATATGAAACAAGATCAGCATGAAAAATAACTTTACTCTAACAGCACCTTTCCTAGCACAGCTTGAAGATCCCTAGCTCGGTTTAATTCCTCAATGAAGCGTTCTACTGTCGTAGCTCCTTTGATTGTTTCAATCAAACTGGCACATAATGGTGGCTAAAACGAAACCTTTCCAGTCTATGAAACAATGTTTTACACAATGTTTTACATATAAAATCCCTCACCAACTCTCCGTTGCATGCAGAATAACTTTGGGGATCAATCTTCATTGTTTACAACACATTCGAATATGAACAATATGGAAACGCTGAAATCAGTAGTAAATTATGCAATGGAATAAAGGAACATAGAAACAGTCGACGAAATGCATCAAACTAGAAACCATTACAGTAAACACAGCTCTAGTACAGTGAATCCACGACCGCACAAATGAAGTAGTACACGGAAAACCGTAGGTTATAGCAATGGGGGACCTGACTGATGACTTATAAACACCAGGTTGGACCCGAAACATTACGAAACTTATGTCAAATCAATGAATACGAAAATCGACACGTAATACTATAGGGGAAGAAGCTAGACCCCAGAGCCTAGCGGAGCACGGGCACGACGTCCGAAAACATGTATAATTTAAAGGATGGTTTTGCCTGGGCAACAATTGCTTCTAGAGCACCAACCACGTCGGCTTCAACGCAAAAATGAAACGTCCTTCAATTCCCCTTCCTCTTTATATCAAACCATCACTGTTATCTATCAGAGCTTATCAGTTTTCTCATTTTCAAGCGTCTTTGTGAAAGGAAACTGTCATTTTACTTCAATAAACTTCATGAGTTATTGATTTTGTTTGTTCCTGGAGAATCGATAGAGAGTAATGTTCCCTTTCATTTATGGAAAGAGATCGTCGTCGTTCGCCTAAAGCAATGCCAGTATAAAAGAATTTTTACGCCATGTTTACAGTTTTGTTCAGTGTTCATTTTCTTCTGAAAGGCATCAATCCTTCACACAAAAATTGTAATAAAACGTTTATCAATGCATATGCAGTGGGCCGTAAGTATTGTCTGAAGTGAAGATTTGTCTATTTATAATGGTTTATATGAACCATGGGTTGCGTTTTAAAAACACGATTTTGGAAATAAATTCCTATCATTCTGTTTCTTATTTGACCATTTTGATTCTGTTTCGAGGACGATGTGCTGATCCACAAACCACGTTTACGAAATTCCAAATGAAAATTCTGAGATAGCCAACCGACGAAGCTGTTCTTTCAGAGAATTTCTTTATTTCTGGTTAATTTTCCAAAGAAATGGACTTGTGATATACCGTAATAGGATTATCCTTTTCGAGATAAACCAGCCATTCCATTAATGGCTCCCAGAGTGCTGTTATCACTGAAGTGGTTGCCAGCTCTCAATGATATCTGGGCTGTATAAGTTGCACAGATAGCCCCTTTTCTTCCAGGGCCGTGCCTATGTCTGTGCTATAACAAATGGCGTTCGTGTCACACCAGCATGCCAATCAATATCCACTTTTTTAATGCGCAAACACTGATGGGGGAGGAGGAAATCCAATTCTTGTGAATCGTGGATACACTGAATGCACTAAAGCTGCTGCGTTTCCTCTAACGCTACTTGTTTTTTCACTTTACTTTGTTGAATTCTGAATTCCTTCCAATAAAAGGCTTTTATGAATGAAGGCGTTGAGCAACACAAGCGGTTATTCTTGTCCGGGATCGACTTTTCAGAAACTTGAATTACTTATTCACTTTCAATTTGCCCTTAATTCTAGAGATCATATTCCAGTAGTTTAGTTTACCCTCATCTTGGAAAGGAAAACGCAGCTACTCAATATCTGCCATCAAAGTACTCGTTTTCGGCCCAAGCAGATTTGTCGGTCACGGTCAGCAACCAACTACTGACTCTCCAACAACTTTTTTTTGCTAAATTTGAGCCCTTTCGAGAAGATGCCCCAATCATTTTCTTGGTGTTAACTAATTCCTTCAGTCCATGGGTAAATCAATCAGTGTGAAAGAGAAAGTGAAATGTGGGGATCGGATGTTTGTCGCCCTGGACGAAAGATTTTATCGGCCGTGGCCAGCATTTGTGCGGAGGTCAATCATAGATCCTTATTGCTTTCCTACCGAATGAACAATCGCACGACCCCTTTCCTAGTTTTCACTGTATATGTAGCGAGCGCTGTAATAGGCATGGCTATGTAGGGAATTTGGTTTTTGTATTGAGCAAAAAGGATTATTTGCGAATTCGCTGGTGGTTTCTCTGTTGCTACGCGATGCCGCTGTAGTTCACAATGCTTCTATCTGCTACAAGGGCAAAAATTCAGTTCTCATTCAAGCTATTTCCTTTACTCGACTGCTATTTTGCAATACTACCAGTAGTAAACAATATCGAGCAGTACTGAAAATTTCAGTTTTTGTAACATGATTTGTTTGTTTCTCATTGCCATTTGTAAGAAAGTTCCGAAGAGATTTCCGCCCCGTTTTTCAGGTGCAATGGACTTTTCAGCAATAGATGAGCTCGTTGAGCGAGCTCGCAAGAATGATAACTTCAGAACGACTGACGCCCTCTACAAAGAGGCGATAGCCGAAGTCGAAGCCGCCTGCCAGAATGTCGGAGCCGCAGAAAGGAAACAGTTGCGACATGTGAGTCTTTGAGCCAGGGAATTCATAAAGCCCTGCAACAGTTGTGATGTAAGTTATCTCGTGAGACCTGATATCATGTTTCTGAAGTGCGCTAGTAATACTAGGGAACAGCATTTTTTCTAAAGTTGTCTCTGTCCGACACTCGAGCAAAAAGTTAGTTAGGGAAAGCAAATGCGACAGGTACTCTGTGTAGCATAGATGCGCAGTAGTCAGAGAAGGCGATATGTGGCGTCCGGTTCATGATTGTTGGGAAAGAAATGGGGAAGTAGAAGCTTCGAGTCAAGAGTAACTCATTTCTTCCTGTCCCTTCCCAAGTTTCTACACTTTTAGTTTAGTTCCTACATTTATCAACTTTGAACTTCTGGGGTGCTCGTGACACCACATTTTTTAAGCAATTCTATCTTAGAATACTCGGACATTAATCAGACAGCTATATGTGCTTCTGACTGAATCTGGCAGTTCTAATGCTATGCTCATTTTTCGCTAACGTTAAGTATCTGGTTTTGCTGGGTTAAAAACTTCTAAATTTCCGCATGAACGATGTTGTTTAGGTGATTACCTTGCTTCGTAAAGAACGAAAAGCGAGAGGAAAAGAAGCAGAGAGCATAAAAGAGTTGTATGCAGCAATGCAATCACTGGAAAGTCCAATTGATGCACCTCCAGCTGATCCGGATGTCTGGCCTGCACCGCCACCCAAGAGAAGTACCACACAGAACGTTCGTACGAAATCTACTCCGAGCAAGGTAATGTTCAAATGAATCCGCGATACAGTGCTGAGATATTCAGATCCCGCTACTTGTCATAATTTACATAGTTGTAATGCGTACTGCTTTCCTAGCCATTTGGAGCTCTTCTTGCTAACTATCCTTTTCTGTCAAAGCGGTGGGAGGATTTTTTTTGTCTAGAGGGTTTCCCTTTGAAAACAATGCTGATTGCATGCTTTGTACGCGCTTGTGTTCTTTGACTTGTTTCTTTGCCTTTTTTGTGAAGCGTACAAGAATGCAATCAGAACTTGATTGGCGTCTGGCCTTACAAAGACTTTGTGCAAATTAGATAGGCCAGCGTTTAACATGCTTCTTCAGTCTCGGATCAATGATGGTGGAGATAATGTGCCAGTGACAGTGAAAAAGCCGGTGCGGAAATCAAACAGCCAGAGTGCAATAGTGGATAAAAAGTCGAAGCAGAGGTGAGTTTGATGGGCTGTGCAGTTGGGGCGGTGGGGGTGTATCTTTCAACACTCATTTTTTAGTTTATGTGAAAGTTTTCGAAGAAGTCTTCGAAAGCGATCTGTTTACGGGTTAAGAATTATGTCGAGATTCAATATCAACTAACTCTTTTGAGAGCTCCAAAGGATGATGATCCCAGTGGATCATCGGTTCCTGCAAGTGTTAGTGAAGTGACGGAAACACCTGCAGCTGATGAGAAGCGTACGGACGAGTTTGTTCCCAGAGGATACTGTCCAGTAAGTGAAACCTTTTCTCATCTTTGTAGATAGGTCCTAATTCTTTCAATTTTTCTGTCTATGGGCTCGCATAAATTAGAAATATAACATTTAGGATTTGGTCGAAGCGATAGAGCAAACAATGACTCGAAATGGAACGGAAGTGTGTTGGGAAGACATTGCCGGTCTTGAGGGACCGAAAGAATTGTTCAAACAGACTATTGTACTTCCAGCCTTGATGCCAAATTTCTTCAAAGTGAGCTCTTATACCGTATCTTTTCAATTTTTATGAGATCCGAAATCTCTGCACTGGCTGAGCTCCGATAGTAGCATAAATAATGTATATAGGGAATCCGTCGACCATGGCGTGGAGTATGTATGGTCGGACCACCAGGCACAGGCAAGACCCTTTTAGCAAAGGCTGTCGCTACTGAATGTCAGACGACATTCTTCGCTGTAAATTGTGGCGATCTCGCAAGTAAATGGCGTGGTGATTCTGAGAAAATGATCAAACTTCTATTTGAAATGGTGAGTCGCCCTAACATCTATTGGTCAATGTGTTTTGAATCTTTAGAAAGACACTCAATTGCTTATTGACGGTGGTTTCAGTTTTTTTTTTCTCACAGGCACGGCATTTTGCTCCATCTACAATATTCATCGATGAGATAGATACCATTGGAAGTCAACGTGGACAAGCCAATGAACATGAAGCTAGCAGGCGGTAAGTCGCATTTTCGGTGCATCGTTTTTTGTCAAATAATAGAAGACTAGAAAGTTGGTGCATCATTTTTTGACAAATAATAGAAGAGTAGAAAGTTGTTTTTGAAAATTTTCTTGATCCGTCTTTTCTTGGGAAAGGGCATTTTTACCTTTTACATTGCCATACAAAATTAGTCTGGCAACTGTAGAATGCCAAAGCTCTTTAGAGTGATTTCTATTTTCGTACTGTTTAGGGTGAAGGCGCAGCTCCTCGTAGAAATGGATGGGTTCTGCAAAGAAGAAGACGGAAAGCGAGTTCTTGTCTTGGCTGCAACAAATTTTCCATGGATGTTAGGTGAGTCTACAATAGTTAGAAATTTTTGAATGTGGTCCCAGATAATTCGTGTATCTATCAATTGCTAAAGTTTCGATGTTGTGATTGGGAAGTCATACACTGTGCCTTTTGAAGCGCGACCAGAAAGTAGTTGTGTGCCACCATTCCATTTCTCTCTTGCAGAGATTGCTTTCATAGATATCATTTTCACGACCTCTCGCTTTGTCAGTAATCGCCTGCGCTCAGACTCTTTTTTTTTTCAGACGAAGCTCTACGCCGTAGATTTGAACAAAGGATTTACATTCCGTTACCCGATAAGCCAGCACGATTGTCGCTTCTACGTTCGTCTTTGAAAGAGGTATGTAGTTTGCATATGTTGTTTGCGAACGTGGAGTGGTGGTAAACAACCTCCTTGACGCTAGTGTGGTTCGGGGAGTAATTGTTATGTGTAATCTCACCTTGACATGTTGAAGCTGAATGCGTGCCATGCTCAATAGGTGATTTATAAGTATCGAGGGCTCATTGTTTGAAATTACCTTCGATCAGTGAAAAGCAGGTGATGATGTGCACGTTGTGGCTGCGCTTCAATATTGCCATATACCTAAAACTAAAACTTAAATTTGAAACTAATTTCTTCCTCGTTTGATCCCTCGGAGAGCGCTATCCCGAATCTAGCCAGAAACATCGCATGTGGTTCGATTAGCGTATGCTCCATGGAATGAAAGGTTGATATAACGGATTTCAGCGAAGATTCTGTGGGAATTGTGATTTACATCCAAACGGGTGCCGATTTTTGTCCTGATAGAGAAGACGCTCCCCATGAGCTATGAAAGTAAAGGCAGCGATATGAATCAGTTCACTCACTTTACTCATGCTTTTTATTCTTAACGGTTGAGCCATTGTCTACAATCAGATCGCAGGAATGCAGATCTTCTGCGTAGTTTCTTAAAATCTTTCGATAAAGTCATAAACTAACTCGCTAAAACCGCTCGTGCTTCCCTACTATAAAGAATGGGCATTAATCGGTACTAGATCAGTATAAAGTAATCGTCGCAAGGCGAGCAGGTTGTGTTGCCATAACTTGCTCCGTTAAGAATAGGTTTCATCAGCTTTTCCTTGGGAGTGTACGACTTCAAATTTAGGAACAAGGTCGATTTTTTTGCCAATTTTCCATCGAAGTCAAGTAACTTCCAAAAAAAGTTGCATACTGCAGGTCCGGATAGCTGATGACGTTGATCTCGAGACATTTGCCGAGCAACTGGAAGGATACTCAGGAGCTGATATAACAAATGTCTGTAGAAAGGCAGCTTTAATGGGAGTGAAAAGGTAAATAGATCATTGCCCATCTACCTCTGGTTGTTTGTCGCTGCCATAACATTGAACTCAGTTTGACGGTGACTCAGTCATTTTTTGTCATGCTTTTAGGTTGACACGAACATTGTCGCCGGCTGAGATAGCGAAATTATCACCAGAAGAAGTTGATCTTCCCATAACGTGGCAGGACCTCCAAGAAGCTTTTGGTGATACAAATCCATCCGTATCAGATGTGAGTAAGGTTTTTATTGATCTCACAGAAACCCAAGACAAAGACGCTTTGCTTAGTGCTTCCAAGCTATTCGTGCTTCATCTTTGTGGGATTTTTTTTTTTCGTTCTACAGCGCATTTCTGAGGGTAGCGAATATAACGGGGACGTTCTTTGGCTTTATCAAATGGTATTACTTGATGGTCAACGCATGTGTAAATTTGGTCTTCGGGAGTGTTCATTCAGGAACTCTGGCTTGGTCTTATCAGAATTGATTGGGGATGGGAGTGGGAACAGTAGTGATCGGTGTATTAATTAACTGCTGACAATAAACTGTTTTATAATCTCTGGGAAAGTTTGCTCATAATTCAGTTTGCCGATTTTTATTCACCTTTTTATAGGAAAACATTCGGCAATATAATGAATGGATGGAAAAGTATGGATCGACGTAGACCAAATGGGCCTCTGTCGCAAGTTCATGCCTAGTAGACTACTTAAACAATGTTGATGTGTCTCAGTACGTTCCCTTTAATCCCTGATCTTCATCTAACCATTGGGACAACAGGTTTGTATCCCTCTCTTTTGTTTAATAATTATAGTGTTTTGTGTTGTGACTTGTTCCATGGACGGGTTATCGAATCAGAATAACTTTTCATTAACTCAAATGTGGCAGTTTCTCATTTACTCATGTGGCAAGACTGTGATTATGTTTGTGTTTGGGAATAGCGCTGTTTCCTTTTTTGTAGGCTTTTTTTTGATAATACTCCTTCATAGGCTTTACCCTCCTCATGGATTTTGCGAAAATTGTGATTGTGATTTGAAAACTTTCAGGGTATTGTGATAATCAATAGTTGTGCATTTTCAACTTCCGCATTCCTGTTAGATGTGATCCAAACTGAAGATGCAATAGGTCTCTTTTGTGGCTATTATAATTTAATTGCTTGTGATGTGACTATATGGACAATGAAAATAAGTAGTTGATGGATTCTGTTGAGCAAGCACTGGTTATATGGAACTCACTTCACTCCATGCTTTGAAAGTAGAGATGTTCTTCCTCGTTCAGGACCGCGATTAACGAAAATATCATGCCAAAACCGATTATAACAAAACATCTCCACGGTTCGATGACGATATTGCTCATCACGTTGTACGTATGAGTGTTGATAAGCTATGGCATAAAAACCGTTAAGAAGGCGAGGACAAGCGGGATCACTGTAGCGTGAGGGATAAGAGCACGGTGCCCGGAGAGCACAAGCACGGGTTCGAGTCTTGTTCATGGCAGAAGTTCTTCCCGTAACGCCCGTCTTTTCAGATTTTCAATGTTTCTTTTTTATTTCCTTAATGAAATGTCTTTTAGTGAATTCAAAAAGTGCTTATCAAATCGGTTGCTCATGGTTCGACCAGTCGTTGATGTCAGAGTCTTTCTGTCACAGTTAATGTCCATTAAGAGATATAGTGATTGTTTGGCTGTTCACCCTAAAACCCTCACAAGTGACGATGTGTTGGGGCTGTACGGAGGGAGAAATTGAGACGACTGCTTTACTGAGACTACAGAGAGAGATGGTAGTCACAGCAAAATCGCCTGCGTTTGATTTTGAAGTGAACTCGCTATGGTAATGTGGTACAGCTCGAAGAAACAGAAAGAGCAAGTTGAATTCACGTGAGCTTGAGTATGAGGTGGGATTTGCGCGTAGATGATTCGCAATACAACGAGTTCGAGATTTCGCGATTGCCTTTCCATCTAAAGATGGAATACAGGAGACTACAAAAGGGGTACAACACTTTTCAAGACCGTAACTTGTTGTGTAAGTCGGTTACTGCGCCACTTTGGGCGAACCTCACGTTAACTCATAGCACAATGTAGAAATCCAAAAAAGAATGAAAGATTTTTATGGTCAG